CACTGCTGTCGGCACCGAATCCCGACGATCCGCTGGCCAACGATGTGGCCGAACAATGGAAAGTCAACGAAAGCGAAGCCATCAGAACTGGTTTGTTATTGTCGTAGTAGTAGTAGTAGTAGTAGTAGTAGTAGTAGTATTGGATCAAATATATAATGATTTTTAAAAAAAATGTCTGTTTATGTATTGTCTTAGCGCGTGATTGGACCCGATTGTATGCAATGAACAGTTATGGACAATGATGGACAACAACAACATCGGGATTATGTGAAGACTATAATAATAATAATAATAAAAATAAATAATAATAATAATAATATCTACCAAATTCAACGCTAGATTTTAATAATAATAATAATAATTATTATTACAATTACTCATTAATTATTTGCATTTTTTTTCTCTCTCTCTCTCTCTCATAAGTTTGTATATAAACGTATATTAAAACAAATTTAATTAATTAATTATTATTATTATTATTAAAAAATAAGAGTAAATTTTAAGCCAATTGTCCGCTTAATTTCAAATTTTTTGATTTACTGTATAATATTACCGGTATTTTTACATTATCTCTCTCTCTCTCTCTTTATTTTTCTCTCTATCTATCTATCTCTCTAACTATCTATCTCTCAAATCACACCCACAAAAAATAGTAGTTTTATAAATATATATTAATATATAAATTTATATATTCAACAACAACAACAAAATTGGACCAAATTTTTTTTCAAACCATTAATTAATATATTTAAAGAAACAAACAAAAAAAATTTAAATAAAATAATTGTTATTTTTTTATTATTATTATTATTTTACTATAATATATATCATAATTTTACTATTGTGGTCACTGTAGTCATAAAATAATAATAATAAATATTTGAAACCACAATTATCAGGTACCTGGCTAAATTAATTAATTAAATCAAATTTGATTTTATATTATATGGTATTTAATAAAAATTGAATGGACTGAATGATGATTATATTATGGCAACTAATAATATATATATATATATATATATATATAGTTTATTATATACAGTATATACCGGTAATACAATTAAATCAATCAGTATATTATATATATATATTGCTAGAGGGTCGGGTGGGGTGGGGTGGGGGAGGTCTATAACTGCCTGCAACCCCTCCTAACCCCTCTCAAGATACTCGTGTGACGGAAATTCAATCAAATTAAATATATTAGCGAAATAAAAGTTTTATTTATTTATTTTTTTTAAGTGAATAAATATTAATATTATTAAAAAATATTATATTTATATAATAATAATATTATTATTATTATTATAATATTATGGATAATAATCCAATTTGAGTGCATTAATAATGAATGAATAGATATCTGTCAGCTCCTGGATCTGCAAAATCATAATATAATAATAAATAATGACTTTTTTTAAATATTTTTTAGTATTATTTTTTTGTTTGTTGAATACCATTTTAGTGGTTGGTTTGCCCGCTCCGTGACCCGATTTGGTGTCCACCCGTATCATCAACGGTGTCCGGGTATTGGTCTGAGCCAATTGGTGTTGTAGTTGTGCAATAAATTTGAACGAATGTAAGGGAACAACACGATCGTCGTGATCACCTACCGGTCCAAACAAATAACAACAACAAAGTTATTGTACGGAACAGACATATATTTTATATACCGGTATATAATACCTGTCAGTATAAGAGTAGCCGGATATGTATCCACTGAATCGGGTATGTTATGCAACGGTGAATACCTAAATAATAATAATAATGGAAATTATAGCTATAATATTAATATTACCGTATTTGCTCACATTTAATCCCCAAATAATTTTTTTTCTGTAAAAATAGATTTACCGTAACTGACAATAATATCGGGGGTTTTAAATGGTAAGCAAATACGGGGTAAGTTTGATATCATACTTTAAGACATTATTGAAATGTATTTCTTCATCGGGATTGCCATAATCGGAACACCAGGCCTTACCAATAGTAAACTTATGGAACCGTAACATATCCAGTACCCTATGGTATACAATAAACAAATAATAAATAATTTATTATTAAATTTAATCAATTAAATGCCTCCCCAACCCCTCCTCCAATTGAATGCCTTTCCCTCCCCACCCCTAATTAAATGCCTTTCCCCTACCCACCCATAATTAAATGCCTTTCCCTCCCGACCCCCTAATTAAATGCCTTTCCCTCCCCACACCTAATTAAATGCCTTTCCCTCCCCACCCCTAATTAAATGCCTCTACCCTCCTCACCCCTAATTAAATGCCTTTCCCCTTCCCACCCCCAAAATTGAATCTCTCTCTCTTACCCGACATGACAAACAACACAACCGTACAGATCGGGTCGTTGATTGGCTACGGCAGCCACCAGTAGACCGCCATTAGAGCCGCCCTGAATAATCAGTTTACGGGGGTTTGTATAGTGATTGTCAATCAGATAGTTGGCCGCCGCGTGAAAGTCATCGAAAACATTCTGTTTGTTCAATAGTTTTCCCGAATCGTGCCATTTCTCGCCGTATTCGCCGCCCCCGCGAATGTTGGCCAATGCAAATATACCGTTCAATTGGTTCATCAATAGTAGCCGATGTGCGTTGAACGACGGCTGTATGGATATATTGAAACCGCCGTAACCGTACAACAGGCAGACATTATCGCCGCTGGGTTTCAAATCTTTGTGATGAACGATAAACATCGGTACTTTGGTTCCATCCATACTATCGTAGAAGACTTGTTTGGTCTCGTAATCTGAGGAATTGAAATCTTTGACTTCGATTTGTTTGAATATTTTTGGTTTACTCTTGAAATCGTAGTGATAGATAACGCCAGGTATCAAAAATGATGTCAAATAGTAGAATATTTCCGATTGTTTACGTTTACCCGAAAACCCGGTAATGGCACCCATCGGTAGATCCAATGATGGTTTATCAGTCAACAGTTGGCCATCACTCAGACGTCGCAATTCGATAACGTTCACCACATCTTTGATATAACAGGCAATGAGTACGTCGTTGTTGGCCACTGTACACCAATCCAGTACATTGTCCGGATGTTCGGCAATAACATCGGTCCACGAGTCCATCTGAGTGCCGCCGTTCAAATCAAATTTGATTACCCGATAATTGTTGGCCAACTTATTGGTCCGTACATAACAAACCGAATCATCGTTAGTTATATACTCGTATTCGGCGCTATACTCTTCAATGATCGGTGTGAGTTTGATCGGGCCATTGATGGCCAGACCGTCGATGTATGCATAAAACCAGAGACAATTTTGACAGCTTTCTCTAACAAATACGTGAAGATATTTTCCACAATCGCTGACCACTGGTGTCATTCGCCAGTTGGGTTCGTCGGGGAATTCGGCTATAAGAATATCATCAGTTTGTTTGGTATTCAGGCGATGATAGAACAGCTTCTGGTATTGATTGGCGGTTGTCTCAGTTCCGTCACTTTTGTCGGTGTGGTCCGGATAGTACTGGTATTTTTTTGGTGAAGATAATTAAAACAGATTTATATTTTTAAAAATACAAAATTCATGAGAGAGAGAGAGAGAGTGAGAAATAAAGAGAGAGATAGAGGAGAGAGAGAGTGTGAGTGAGTGAGAGTGTGAGTGAGTGAGAGAGAGAGAGAGAGAGAAAGAGAGAGAGAGGGAGAGTGAGAGAGAGAGAAAGAGAGAGAGATAGAGGGAAGAGAGTGAGAGAGAGAGAGAGAGAGAGAGAGAGAGAGAGAGAAAGAGAAAGAGAAAGAGAAAGAGAAAGAGAAAGAGAGAGAGAAAGAGAGAGAAAGAGAGAGAAAGAGAGAGAGAAAGAGATAGAGAGATCTACTAACGCCATAAAAGAAGCCATTGTTATCGTGAGTCCACGCAATGTTTGTAAACTTAATTTTTGTTAGCTCTTCGGCCACATCCTCACCGGTCGATACATTTTTCACACGTATGCGAACCCAATCGCTACCCGAATCGCTCAGTCCGTAGGCAAACCATTTGCCGTCTTCGGAAAACGATGTCTCGCCCAGCGATGTTGTTCCGTCCGGACTCAACTGATTCGGATCGAGAAACACTTGCGGTTCGCCATCCAGTGACGACATTACATAGAGTATCGACTGGTTTTGTAGGCCAGTGTTCATATAGTAGTAGTAGTTGTCGCCTCGTTTGAATGGACAACCATATCGACAGTAGTGCCACAATTGGTTCAATCTAAGGTAAGGGATAGTATACCGGTAAATGTCATCATCATATCAATCTATGGTATGTCAAACACAACCAATCACCACATCATCTGACAGGTAGTGGTGATGGTGGTAGTGGTGTATAGTATATGATATGATAATACCTTTTGTCGATTTGTTGCCGATGAACACAGGACTCGATATAAGGCATAGTTATCTCGTTTTGTTTGTCGACAAACTGTTTAGTATCGGTACTGTCGGCATCTTCTAGCCATCGATAAGGATCGTTGATCTATTGGATAATGAATATGTGTGTTACATATCTTCAAATTAGGTTAGTATGGGATCTGATATATGATCTCTGATAGTCATCATCACCACCACTACTACTACTACTACTACTACTACTACTACTACTACTACATACTTTGTGTCCGTGAATCACATCCGATGTATTATCTCTTCTGACCGATGGATACTGAAATGATTGCGAGGCTGTGGTGATGGCGTCGGTGGCCGAGGAGGAGGTGGACATCATTTTGTTGGTTACGGCGGCGGCTGTCGTTGTCATTGCAAATGAATTGCTGAAAACTCTTTGACAAAATCTACTGATTGTTAAAGATTTGGTAATTGATTGCATAAAACAATAAAATAATAATAAATTAAGTTTTCGTTAAATTATTTCAGAGACAATCAAATCAATTGATTGATTGACAATAAAATATTTAAATACAGTTTACTGTATATTATTAGAAAATATCTGCAAAAATATAATAAAAAAATTATTTATTTAATTATTTATTACAGTATTTATTATTATTATATGTTATGTTATGTTTAAACAGTACTATACTTTAAATAGATTTTTTATATACACTGTACAATGTATTAGTAGCAGGGTTGGAAAAATACAATGTTTTTTTTCAATTTTAGCAATTTGTAACATACAGTAAAATACAATGTACTGGGATGTATTTTTACAATTAGATAGATACAAATTACAATGATAAAATATTTTTATTTTTTTCTCAATTAAAATTATTATTATTATTACATAATTTCAATATCGTTTATTAGAATCGTTGTTTTCTAAAACTATTTAAAAATTAATATTAATTATATTTTTTATTAATATATTTCAATACCAGATATTAAATTGAATAGTTAATTTCAAATTTTTTTTTCAAAATAAAAAAATAATTATTATTATAACAAAACATGTGTTTGTTTGTGAATTTTAGTATTTTTGTTATTAGGTGGTGCTAAAAAAATTTTTTTTTGTAAGCCAAAATTGTCATGTAATTTACATTGTATTATACTGTATAATACGCTTTGTATTATACATACACTTTGTCTCTGCCAACACTGATTAGTAGTACCAATAGTATAGCGACATCTAAATCACTATTTATACAGTGGTTTATATAGTAGTAAAAAACTGTCCGAATATATTCTAAACCAAAATATTGGATAATTAAAAAAAATTTATTATATATTAGTATATGTCTCAGCTATCAGTCTAAGCATTAATACAATGATATCATTGTATTAATGTGTAAATGCATTATGTAGTCAATGAATAGACAAAATACACATTTTTTTCAACAATTGTTTTAATTTTTTAATCAAAACTAATATTATATAAATTGGTATTTTATTTATTTATAGTAATATAACTTTCAAAAACACAAATAAAAAAATCACATAGATTACACTTAATATATACATGTATGTATATATATACCATACAAATTTTAATTTAAATAGCTATGCAACATATATACCACGTATATCAGTCTATGCTTTTTAAAAAACTCCGCCCCATCTAAACATTAAACACACTAATATTGCTCGCATATAATACATACATACACTACTGTATTAATGTGCGGCTATTATTGTTTTGGTTTTGAATATAATTTTGAATATAAAATATTATTATTATTATTATTATTAATAAATTTATTTCTATATGTCTATGAAATACACACTACTCTCTCTCATGTCTATCAATATAGTACTGTATGACCTAAAAGTACTGATAAATTATATATAAATATTTATTAAATTACTTTTATTTATTAATTAGTTTATAATATAATAGATAACTTAAAATACAGAGGAATCAAATCAAGATTTTTTTTATATAATTTTTTTATAATAATAATTACAATTTACTCTCTATTTGTTGGCTATAAAATAGAGATATTTAAAAAAAAAACAAAAACTAAATAAGCATTTTTATATTAATTAAGTTTTGAGTATTTTTTTTTTGGTTGAAAAACACTTTGTATAGTTATAATGTGTCCGATAGGGCCTACCGTTTCGCTTATGTATTGTTAATATATTGATATATGAGAAAAATAATTTTTTTTTAAAAATATATATATTTAGAAAAGTTGACAAACTATATACTACATGTGTCCACTCCAACCCCTCCCACAAAAACCCACACACCCCCAGTGCATATATATATATATATATAAAATGCTTATTTAGTTTTGTTTTTTTTTTTTAATAGATTTATTATCCATTATTATACATACATTTTTATTAGTAGTCGGATTAAAAACAAAAAAATTAATGTAATGTTGAATAACTAATGATAAATATCTGTTTTAATTATTTGTAATTAAATATTTATTTATTTTTATTAAAAATTTATAAAATAATGATTCAATGGTCTCTCTCTCTCTCTCTCTCTCTCTCTCTCTCTCTCTCTCTCTCTCTCTCTCTTTGTCTCTCTCTATGGTATAATAAAAATATCATATATAATATGTTGTAATTTAAAAAAAAAAAATATCTAAAATCAAAATCTGAAATATAATATATATTTATATAATACTAGGTTTTCAATTTTGACATTGTAAAATACAGTTAGGGGGTGAGGGAGGGTGGGAGGGAGGAACGGTAGATGGGACTTATCCTATTTTAACTATTTGTTGAAAAAAAAACTACTGTATAACCAATGGGTTGTATATATACCGAAATTGTTTCGCATAAATATCACATAAACTAAACATTAAAATTAATTAACACATAAATTTATATACAGTATATATATATATTGACCTCATGTTTTGACCCCCAGTTTATAATCGCCACCCCACCCCCACCACCCCACCCCAAACTATCTGGGAAACTGTGTCTCTTCAATGTTCAAACTATTAGTTTTAGTTATTTATTTAGTTTTATTAACTATTGATATTAATTTGCATTAACTTTAAAAAACTTTTTGTTGTTGAAAACATTAAAGTTTCAAAATTACTTGTTTTATATTATTATATTAAATATTATATTTTTAATAATTAATTAATTAATAATTATTTATTTAAAACAAACAAATAATAAATAAATAAATAAAAAACTTTTATTCTATATATTTAATGATTGAATTATTAATAATTTATCGACATTTTTATCATCACTTTTATCATTATTATTATCGACAATATTATTGTGTCCATCATTATCATCATCAACAGCGTCACCATCGCTGCTGTCATCACTCGGCGGTAAATCAGTTTTCCTATGATAATGACCATCACTTTCATCATCATTATTGTTCAACTGTTCAATGATCTGTTGCTGTGCGGCCACCATCTGCTTACTGTCCAGACATTGGCTATACTTATCGAACAACCATTGATTCAATTGGCCGAAAGCTGTCGACCATTTAAATTTCGATAGATATCTGTCGGCCTGGGATTGAAAACCAGTGATAATCAATGTCGAAGCAACGGCTTCGACACACGATAACTTCGAAACGGTTCCATAGTTTACGGGATTTGAGGCCAACAAATAGGGTAGTAGCCGGAGGTACGGACCTTTCATTTTATGAAACGGTGTATCAGCTAAACGATTCCACGAACAATCGACAACAGCTATACCCGATCGTTGGACAATCGGTCGATCTTCCGGTGAAACACATTTGGTGGCCATCGGACTCAATATGATACCATCGAAACGTTGGCCCAGACGTAACAGCCGGCACATCGACATACGGACCAACTTTCTTCCCGTACATCGTTTAGGATTACAATGTTTCAGATCCCACATACAGACTGCTATCTTGTTGTTGTAGTCTTCATCATCGTCATTGTCTTCGGTATCTTCTTCGCCATCAGCATCGCTGCTGCTGTCCTCTTCATTATCATCATCGTTGTCATCGTCATCCGTGTCTTGTTTTTGATTGTCATCATCACTGCTGTCTTGTTGTTTGTTGTCTTCTTCATCATCAATGTCTTGTTGTTTACTTCTTCTACTACTTGTTGTCGGCAATCGATGGCAGCCATCATCGCTGGTGTGTTGGTTATCATCTAACAGATGATGATTATGTTTACTTTGTTTGTCTTTGCGGTGGTGATGGTGACTACTTCTGCTTTGTTGGCGATGTTTATCCATAATTTCAGATAAAAATTTAAAGGTATTGTTCAACACATGTATGGATCACATGGTGTTTAAGACACCAGATGTCGGTCACAATCATAACATTGACATTACTTTTACTCTTAAAATACTATTAATAAAAACCAAATGTATTGTAAAGTATGAGTCAATACATACATATTGTCGTCATATTTATAGAGACGAAGACATAGACAGACAGAGAAGTATTTTATAGTTAAAAAAGACATTTACTGAAAGACACCTATGATTTGAAAGGTTTTTAAGGACCAATTGGACTAATCATCAGCAAAGATGACCATCAATTAGATCCAATTGATTGATATTTTTTGTTTTTAAGGGGAAAAATCAAATCATTTGACTGTTTATTAGACAACAACAACAACCACAACAACAACAACAAGACTACAGTCGATGACTATATATATATCTATGATATATATCTCTCTGTATTGTCCATCAAAATCAGCTGAAGATCAAAGAAGACAGAAAAAAACCACACAATTATCATATAATATCCAGTTTGTTGGGTGAAACTCTTTGCTGTGGACATCATCATCAACAACAACAACAACAACAACAACAATAGTTTAGATCATTATTAGTTACCACACATCCAGTCTCTTTAGATAGTCATGACTATATTGCCGAAGAAGAAAAACCCGTCAAACAAACAACAGCAACAACAACAATCATCGGGCGATGATTCGGTAGATCAAGAAACTCGTGGCCACAATGTTTCCATAGGCTATAGCGGTTTCGCTGGTCGCGGTCCGCACAACGGTTCGCATTCGGTAGTCGGATCTCATTCGCCGCAAAGTTCCAGTCGTTGGCGAACTGATGACAAACGCGGTGTCCAGGATTCGGATGGCGTCGATCTGCTTGAATCGGGTCAACCGATATCCAAACGTCGACATCGACGAGTAGGAGCCGATGATCGACACGATCGACTGGTCGGCCGTAAAGGCAAGTCAGGCATCGGCGGCAGTGGTGGTGTTACGCCGTTGTCGTTGACCAGTAACGGTGTTCAGGGAAGTGTTGGCGATGTTGATGTAGTAGTCGGTGGTGTTGGTGTCGGACGATTAGGAGTAGGAGGAGGAGGAGGAGGTGAGTCTAGCGATGAACGATGCAGTGATCAAAGCAGTAGCAGTTCTGGTGGCGGACAACGACTCGGCGGTGTAGGAGTAGGCGGTATCGATGACCCGATGGTAGCCCAGACGGAAGCTGCTTCTGGCTATAACAGTGGTGACGAATACGAACGGCCGACCGAGTCTAAGGAGGAATGGGAAGAAAAGGAGAGAGTGTTTGCCAAACGACTTAAAAAGAAAGGTTTTATAATCAAACAGATGGGCGAAGACGGGGCCTGTCTTTTTCGTGCAGTCGGTAAATACCAGTTTTATTTTAATTGTGACCATTGATTGATCCATTATTTAAGATCTAATGAAATCAATCAAATGTTTCTTTGTCTCCACTGTAACAGCTGACCAAATATATGGTGATCAAGAAATGCATGCATCGGTCAGAAAGCTATGCATGGATTATATGGTATGTTATGTTTCCCTCTAACCTCCCCATCCCACCCCCACCCCCTTATCATCATCAATGGTAATGATGATAATTGAATGTAAAAAAATTTAGGCCAAAAACGGTGACTACTTTTCCCAATACGTAACCGAAGATTTTGGAGCCTATATTGAACGCAAACGATTGAATCACATTCACGGCAATCACATCGAAATGCAGGCCATGAGCGAGATATTCAATCGGCCGATCGAAGTCTATCACTATAGTTGCGAACCGATCAACATATTTCAGGGTTGCCATCAAACAGATAACGAACCGATTCGGTTGAGTTACCACAAGAACATACACTACAATTCGATAGTTAATCCACACAAAGCAACCATTGGTCTGGGTCTGGGACTGCCGGCCCTGAAACCTGGTTTTGCCGAAAAATCCCTAATGGACAAAGCCATACACATATCTGAACAACAACAACTGGAACAGGCTATGCTCGAAGACAAGATCAGGGCTACCGATTGGGAGGCGACTAACGAGGCCATCGAAGAACAGATTGCACGGGAATCGTACGTCGAATGGCTGAAAGAGAATGAGATGCGTCACCAGCAGAAATCAAAGCTAAAATCGACGGCTTCGTCGGCATCATCGGCGGCCACTTCGACGAACACCACCAGCTCAGCAGCCGGCGGCGGGTTTCCTCTTCAATCGCTCGACTCGTGTCTGAGTAGTCCGTCGCGATCCAGTCCTAAAGCATCGGGCAGTGGTATCAATGAGACTACATATTTCAATAGCAAAACAACTTTACGCCACAACGACTTCAGCCTTATGGAGACGGCGTCGTCGTTCATCAATGATTTGCCGCCGCAGATGTTCGGTAATGTGTTTGTTTGTTTGTTGGGTAACCATCGATGATGTCTGGATGATATGACTAATACTTGTAATGATTATTGTAGGTCTCAAAGACTGGACACAGGACGACATATTGGCCAAAGTGTTGGCCCAATCGCAAGAGGAATACATCGAGTCTCTTAAAAGAGATGGTAAGACATCGTCGTCATCGCAATCATCATCTCTAACACAACAACAACAACAACAGCAAACCAATAGCCAATGCAAAACACCTCCTCCTTCATCCTCTTCATCATCTAATACATAGTGTTATCTAATTATTTATAATAATTATATAATTATTATTATTATTATTACCGAAATAATATGTTTATATTGATTATTATTATTATTATTTTTATTTTTAGGTTTTAAAAAAAAACAAACAAAAACAATTGTATTTCAATTAATGATTGTATGATTTAATTATTTAATTGGTTGTTATTATTATTAATGTTGTTGTTGTTGACAATAATGATGACCTAACAGTACAGCAGTATATCACTTATGTCTATACATTATATTATATAATTATAAATAAATAAATAAATAAATAAATATATATATATAAATATTTAAATATATTAATAAATAATTAATTAATTTTAACAAAAAAAAAACTTTTTAACAATTAGCGTAATTATTATTATTATTTTTTTTTAAATATAAATTGTTGTTGAATTGTAAGCTAAATAATATCATATATATATACATGATATACAGTATATATATATTAGTAAATTAATACATTTTCTAACTAAAAAAAAAACAACAAATAAATCAATCAATTGGTCACCACATATGCACTGGTTTTTTTTTGGTATGGGATACCAGTGCTGACTGTAAGCGATACCGGAGGTCAGTAGGGGTTAGGGGAAGGGAGTTGTGGTGATGGACTAGACATATGGTATAGTTTATCAACTTTTCTTTCAAATATCATATAAATCAATATAATTTGTTTCAATTTATATTTACAACAATTTATAGCAATTAGAAACAAACAAACAAACATTTGATATATAGGAAAATGTAAAACAGTAATAATAATAATGATAATAAAAATTCACAAACTATTACCATATGTCAACCCCTGCATACCCCCACCCCCAACCCCCCTACTGACCTACGGTATCGCTTACAATCAGCACTGGTATCCTATAAAAACCCATCGTATATGCGATTATCACACTATCAAAAATAGTTTAGTAATTGATAAAAAAACAGTTTTTCAATCAATCAATCAATCAACAAAAAAAAAGGTAATTTAAAAAAATGTTTATTATATTTTTTTATTGTTAAATTGTTAAAACAACTAAATAAAAATTTAAAAAATAATAAAAGTTATGAATTTAAAAAAATGTATATTTAATTTAGAAAACTATTTAATTAAAACTTATTAATAAACTTTATTTTGTTGTTTTGTTTAAAAAATATTCAATTGAATTTAAATTAATTATGAATTAATTTAATTAATATTTAAATATTATAATTAAATTAATTATTTTTTTCAATAAGCATAAAAGCTAAACAAAAATTTATTTTAATTAATTAATTAATTATTATTGTTATAACTAAATCACTAATTGTTTTAATTTAAAAATATTTTATTTGATATCATAATATAGACGACAATGTATTTTATAAATAAGACATACTTTGTGTGTTTGTTTTGGTTATATTATTGTAAAAAAAAAAATTGTTTAATAATTTATTTTTATACATTGAAATCATAATATTTATATACATATAAAGTAAACAAATAGTATAACAGTATTATTGATATTTCAAAAAATTATTTACTAATACTATTGAAAATGCATTGATCTTTGACATTGAAATTTGGTTACTAACTGTATATATACTGTATTTTAAATTTTATATGATATCATATACAGTGTGTATATTAAAAGCCACTATAAAAACACATTTATTTGATATAAAAAATAATTTGAAATTATTTTTGTATTTAATAAAATAGTTTTATATTTAAATGATAAGACATTTGAAATGTATGACTAAACTAAATATCTATTAATAATATATAAAATACTGTATAATATAATACAGTATATATTAATTAATAGACATTTAGTTAGACATACATTTCAAATGTCTTATCATTTAAATAAACTATTTTATAATACGATATATTATAATATAAATTTGATAACTGTTTTGTTTGTTGAAAGTCTAGAAAACTTTTCCAATTATTTCAGTCATTTTGTTGGTAACAATCAATTCATTGATTTAATTAAAAAAAAAAAAAAAAAAAATTATTACATATTTTATATTAAGTGATAAGTTATTTAAAATAAACAATTTGTTTATTAAAGTATTAAAAAATACAATATTTTTTTTAAATATATTTACTGTTTTTTATTATTTAAAAAAAATAACTTCACTTTCTATATATAAAAAAAACTTTTGATTCAAATATGATATAAATTAAAAACTATTAATACTATTAATAAATATTTTATTATTTCATAAGACTTTTAACGGTTATAACGGGTTTACCGCCGATGATAAACAAAGTTAACCTATAATCATCATGAAGTTAGTGATAAAATTGTTTACAATTGGTCTACTATTGTCTACGGGACTATTGGTGGCCACTATACTACGTACGGTTATCTATTTTCCGGCACCAACCCAAGTGGCGACATGCGCCGATTTGCACCAACCTATCGACGGGCAATCGGTTATCGATCGGTTCCGATCGGCGCTACAATTCAAGACAATTACCAAAGCGGCACACGATTACGATACCGTCGAGTTGAAGAAGTATATCGACTTTATTATCAAAAGTATTTAAAAGACACACACAATCGGGTGGTGATTACCCCCCGAAACAAAACCACCCGAAAAAAATGTCTTATATTTATAACTTTGTTTTTTATTTCTCTCTCTCTCTCTCTCTCTCTCTCTCTCTCTGTCCAGACTATCCGGCCATACATTCGTCTAAATTTGTTTCCTATGAATTGGTCAACAATTTAAGTCTATTGTATACGATTCAAGGATCAGATCCGTCGTTGACACCGTATTTACTATGCGGTCATTTAGATGTAGTTACCGTCGAACTGGACAAATGGGATGTCGATCCGTTTGCCGGCGTTATACGCGACGGCTTTATCTACGGCAGGGGTACTATAGATGTCAAGAATATTGTTATGGTATTTGATTTGATTGATTGAGTGATCTTTTGAGACTTTGAGAGAGAGAGAGAGAGAGAGAGAGAGTCTGGAACTAATTGGTGACTAATTTTGATTTGTTTTTTTTTTGTATGAATAAAAAGGCAATACTCGAGTCGTTTGATTACTTATTGAAGAATGGATTTAAACCGAAACGAAGTTTTTTCATAGCCTTCGGTCACGACGAAGAAGCCCTGGGTCTCGACGGCGCCCAATACTTGGCCAAAGCTATTCAGGCGAAAGGTGTCGACAAACTGGAGTATCTGTTAGACGAAGGAACGATAATTATGAACCAGACATTCCCCGGTGTTCAGGCTCTGGTAGCTATGGTCGGTGTTACGGAAAAAGGCTATCTGACAGTCCGATTGGACGCCAAAGGCCAGGTCGGCCATTCTTCGATGGCACCGAAAGAGACGGCTATTACCACATTGGCTAAAGCGGTGTCAAAGTAGTGTATTTGAAACCCAAACCACAAAAATAAATCATTACAACAAATATTATTAATACATTGATTTTTACCAATTTGTTAGATTTGAGTCTACAGTACATCCAAATATGTTTGGTTCGGGACCCGAAAAGGACTTATTTGAAGCATTTGCACCTTATGTTAGTTGACTCTCTCTCCCATCTCTCTCTCCCATCTCTCTCTCCCATCTCTCTCTCCCATCTCTCTCTCTCCCATCTCTCTCTCCCATCTCTCTCTCCCATCTCTCTCTCCCATCTCTCTCTCCCATCTCTCTCTCCCATCTCTCTCTCCCATCTCTCTCTCCCATCTCTCTCTCTCCCATCTCTCTCTCCCATCTCTCTCTCCCATCTCTCTCTCCCATCTCTCTCTCCCATCTCTCTCTCTCATCTCTCTCTCTCATCTCTCTCTCTCATCTCTCTCTCTCATCTCTCTCTCTCATCTCTCTCTCTCATCTCTCTCTCTCATCTCTCTCTCTCATCTCTCTCTCTCTCTCTCTCTCTCTCATCTCTCTCTCTCATCTCTCTCTCATCTCTCTCTCATCTCTCTCTCTCATCTCTCTCTCTCTCTCTCTCTCTCTCTCTCTCTCTCTCTCTCATCTCTCTCTCATCTCTCTCTCATCTCTCTCTCTCTCTCTCTCTCTCTCTCTCTCTCTCTCTCTCTCTCTCTCTGATTATTAAGAGATTAATTAATTAATTAGTTATCGGGTATTGAAAAAAATAATTACCACATATTTTAGGCTAGTTTTCCCTATAATTGGATTTATAGCAATCTATGGCTGTTTGGACCGATATTTTCAAGAATCTTAAGTACTAAGCCTTCGTCTAACGGTTTGGTCCGAACCACTAGCGCTGCAACTATTATCGGTGGCGGTTATAAAGTTAGTGATAATAATAATAATAATATTATCGGTAATTGTATTATCATTTGTTTTGTTTTTTTAGGAAAATGTTTGTCCGAGTTCTGCCGTCGCTTACATTAACCATCGAATTCATGTCAAACAGACCATCGAAGAAATAGTAGATTTTGATCGCCGACTGATTAGCGACGATCGCATAGCACTGTCCATCCATGGTCTACCTATTCATCCGCATCCGATATCACCATACGATGACCAGTCCTTTGGCTATCAGACAATTCGTCGAAGTATTAGACAAGTGTTCAATAATACTGCAGTGGTTCCCGGGATTATGTTAGCCAATACTGATACCAGGTTTGCTGCCATCCATTCATCCATATTGATGGATGGATGGATGGATGACCACAATAAGTGATAATAATTAATGATAAATATCTTTGTTTTTAATCCAATCCAATCAATCAACAAATAGATGGTATAAACATCTGACATCAGCTATCTATCGATTTTCGCCGTCCATTCTCTATACTGAAGATACTGTTAGGTAACGGTATTTTGATATATATATATATAGTTACCGATAATATTATAATTTTTGGTGTTTTAATTAATTAACCGATAGATTTCATGGCCATAACGAAAGAATATCAGTCGATAATTATATGAAAACAGTCAACTATTATCATCATATTATTGTCAATTCAGATCTTAAAGATTTAGCCGACAAACCACTGGTTAAGGATGAACTGTAAGGGTAGGGGAGGGGTGGGGTGACTGTACCGGTAGTACTGATGATATAATGTACGGTATAATACTGTTAGTAGTAGTAGTAGTAGGTAGTAGTCAATCAAATTGATAGTACAAAATGCAATTTTTTGAAATTTTTTTGAATGACATTTATATATATATATAAATTAATTAAAATTTAAAATTACTGGTATTTTTTTTGATAATCAATTGTTATTTTTTTAATACTCATAATTTTTCAATAAATAATTTGGATTTAATTTTGTTTGTTTGTGATATAATTTTTTGTTTACTTGTAATATATATATATTTTTTTTTGTATATACGATATATGAATATATATACAGATAATAATACAATTTTTTTTAAAAAAATAATTGCAAATAAAAAATGATAAAAAATTATTTTATTTTAAAAAATGCTTAAAATATAGCAATTTTTTTAAATACCTTATCCTCTATGAGTCAATCCTCAAAATAAAATATTTTATTAACATTATATCAATAATACATTTATTATTATTAAATATTATTTCAAGTTTATTATCCATTATAATACTATACAAAATATAATAATAATATTTTAATAATAATAATAACAAATATGTAAAATTAATTTATTATATTATTTTTTAAAAAAATTATTATCACTAATTTTTTCCAAAAATTATTTAATCAATTAATCAGATTTTTTATATTTATAAATTTTTTTGACGATTTAAAAAAAAACTATTATTATTGTTGTTGTTAACAATATTTATTACCAGAAAATAAGTATTTAAAAATTAATTAATTAATTAATTAAATGCTATATTATTTTTATTTGAAAAACAATTTCATCAATAATTATACAGTAATAATAAAAATAATAATTTAAAATATTTTTTATGGAAAAAAGTGAATCTTTAAAAAAAAAGTCTAGTCTTAAAGCAAATAATAATAATAATAATAAGTTATAACAACAACAAAAAAAAACAAAAAAAAATTTTTGACCTAATTTTTCCTTAACAAATGCTAATCACTTGTTATGTATTAATGTTTTTTTTAAATAAATAATATATTTGTTGCTAATTATTATTTACTGAAAACTTGTTTGTTTGAGACATTTATCATCTTTACAATTATATATCATATATTGTTGTAAATATAATATATATATATAAAGAAAACACTTTTATGATATATATATCTATATATAAATAACTACCTCTTAGTCCTAAAACTATGGATAAACATACAGATATTCATTAATATTATTATTATTAAAATATAATAATTGTATGTTTTTTGTTGTTTGAAGTTGTTTTGTATTTTTGCTATAAATAAATATATTCTTTATATTCCTAATAAACAATATATATATATATATATAATATATGTCTATAAAGATATATTTAAGGAAAATATTTTTTAAGCAATTTTAAACAAAAATTTTTTTCTATTACCTGTATATTAGTTTTAAAAAAATAAATTACACAAATATAAGGTAAAATAACGTATATATATATATGTGTGTGTGTGTGTGTGTAAAAAACATCAATTGAATAAATTATTATTTTTTTGTTGTATATTTGCTACAAAAAAATAAAATAATCCTATAGTTTTTCAAACGGAAAATATACACAACAACAACAACACAAAAAACTGATATAATTTTCAAATAGCAAACAAAAAAAATTTAAAGATTATAATAATTTTAAGATGGTTTGCACTACTATTCAATTGTGACAATTAGGTTAATAATAATAATAATAATAAATAAATTATTCAAAAATCTATTAGTACTGTATAGTCATTTATTTGCTAGTTTTTTTTAATGATGAATAGCATATAGTAATTGTTATTATTGTTTAAAAATTAGATGCATTGATGAACACACAGTTAGTCTATACTAATAATAATAATGAAATTTATTGTACCTGAAAATAAAAAACTAACATTATCTTTAAATTTTATTTAAAAAAATTTTTTTTTTGGTTGTATATAACAGTAGTAAAAAATAAACTTAAACAAAACATCTACTGTATTAGTATTATTAGGACAATTGATAAAATTGTTAAAATTTGCTAAATTTATATTATTATTATTATTACTTGTTAGTTGTGTGTTAGTTTAAAATTAAATTAAACAATTTGTCTAATATAATATATAGTAAAATAAATTAAGTTATTATTTGTTGTTATCACTATTAATAAAAAGTAAGTTTTTAAWAAAAAAACTAAAAACTTATATTACAGTAATTATTTATGAATAAAATATTTTTTTGATTTATGTCTAATAATGTAATTTATTTTTAAAAAAAAAAATATTATACTATTGGTTACAAGTTTATTGGTAATAAATATCAAGTATTTATATAATAAAAAATAAATTAATTATATATATATAATAAACTAAAACACAAAACTTTTTGAATTAATTTTTTTCATATATTAGTAATATATTAGTTAATTGATAATGAAATAAATCATTTTTGTTATCATAAATCATTAAATTTTCACTATTATTATTAGTTATACAATATTATTGTTATTATTATTATTACTGTCATTATAATCACTAATTACTATTAATATTATTTATTTTTTTTATTATTATTATGAAACTTATGGATTTCATTAATAAATAAACTGATTCTTTCAAAATACGGCTCCTGTAGCCGGACATTGCCGTGATTGGCCTCCGGTAGCCACAGTGGACTAACCTTATGTTTGCTGGCCTTATAGAGGGAAATGCCGTGCGCTATACTAATCACCCGATCTTTCATACCATGAATTACTAGTACTTGAAAAAAATCGACAGTAAAAAATATATATACAGTATTATATTAATTATTATTTTGTGTGTGTGATTGTGTGAGTGTGTATGTGAATGTGTGTGTGTATGTATGTGTATGTATGTGTATGTATGTGTATGTATGTGTATGTATGTGTATGTATGTGTATGTATGTGTATGTATGTGTATGTATGTATCTGTGTATGTATCTGTGTTTGTATGTATGTATGTATGTATGTATGTATGTATGTATGTATGTATGTATGTATGTATGTATGTATGTATGTATGTATGTGTATGTATGTATGTATGTATGTATGTATGTGTGTGTGTGTGTGTGTGTGTGTGTGTRTGTGTGTGTGTATTATTCATATACATATGATTACCGGGACAATCAATCCGTCCTATCTTTTCGATATTGGGAAACGGATCAAACGTATAGGTGCGGCCCTGATAGTCGCAAAACGTACGAATACCCGATTTGATGGGCGCTGCCAGTATAACACCGGCTACCGACATACGACCACTGGCCGATAGATGAATGGTCGGTACGGATCCGATACTTTCGCCGTACAGTATGATATGCTTCGGGTCTATACGAAACTCTCGGATCAAATGTTTGACTACTGTTTCGATGTCGGCATAGATATTACGTTCAGATGGACGACCATCGCTCATACCGTAACCCGAGTAGTCATAGGAACAGACATTTACCCGACAATTAACCGATAGTTTATGTAGACTACCGATCATTAGACCCAAATCCGAGCCATTTGAATGACTGTAGACTATAGTATAACTAATTGTTTTTTTTAATATAAAACAAAACTATAATTAATAGCTAACTATCATTAAAAATAGATATTATTATTATCCATACGTTTGTTGACCATCGCTGGTGATGTGTCTGTCCTCTCCTTCCTCCTCCTTCTCTTTTGGCGCCCAAACAATTAGACCAATCAGTCGATTACCGTTAGCCGTCACCCGAGTTCGGAAACAGTGATACCGGAACTCATCGGAGGACAGTTGTAATAGTTGTCTATAGCGTCGGTATTTGGTTTCCTGTATATATAGTTTGGCGTCTGGAGTCAAATCAATGTACAGACGACTGTCCTCGTTGTTGTCATTGTCTGTATTATCGGCTGGTTGTCTGACCAGCAATTTATATGAACTTTTTATTGGCGGACAAAACGCTACCAACGATATCAGCTTAGCTATGACTGACATATCGTCGGACATCATATCGGTTATAGTCGGCACCGGTAGTTGTCGTCGTTTACGTCGATACAGACTTTCCAGTATTGATATCAAAATTATATTTATCATTGAAATAATTTTTTTTATTGTTGTATATAAAAGTTAAATATATTTAATTTAATTTAAACTAATAATTATTATTATTATTATTAACGATAAAATTATATTATATAAGAGCGAGATTTGATATTATAATAACTTATCAATAGTTTCTATATATATATATATATATAAAAATATTTTTTTGTGTATAAAAAATTAAATAAATAATTTAATTTTTTTGTTTGTTTAGCAACCAATTGATTCATAATAAACTGGAAAATGTATTATACTGTATATAATATAATTAATAATATTAACCACAAAAAAATTTAATTAGTGATAAAATCATCTTTTTATAAATAACTTTTTAATAACTGTTAAATATTTTTAATTTATTTTCTACACTATGCTATGATATACAGTATTACCTAGATAGATTATAATTTACAAGTTATAATATGAGATATTTAGTTTATTTTTATTACAATCAATTATTTTATCTATAGTGATAATGCAAACAGATATTTAATAATAATAATAATTAATATGATAAGTATTACTAATACTACCTAAAAATATGTTTATAATGCATATTTAAATTGTTTAAAATCAATTTCTAGCTAAAAATATTTGAGATTTTAAAATCATTAACTATTTGAAATAATGACCCCGCTCATAACCTTGCAAATAGATTATGAAAACCCCTTATTAAAGATATTATACTGTACTACATGTAGTAGTAGTGTACCGGGGTAATATAAAAGTTATAAAACTTTTATTTAAGTAATTTATTCACCAATGTATTGACCTTGCTAGTTATTATAATGGTCATATTTATTATTAAGATCCCACAAAAATTACCATAGTATGAGTCCCGCACCCCACCCCCTACCCCCATAGTAACTGTATAGGCTCTAAAACCTACATACCAGTGCGCTTTTAGTACAGTATAAACAGTACATACTGTACTTTTACTTTCACTTTAAATCACCTTTCATTGTCACTTAATTTTTAATCCCCTTTTGTATTGATAATTATAAATACTATTTGAATATTTATTATACTGTATATGTAAATGTCATGTATCTGTAAGTGATTATAACTTTTATAACTTTTAACAGGAATTGTATTATAAATATTATATTATATTATACTATACTAAATGTATATTTAAAATAAAACTACTAAAATATACATAAAATTTGTATTCATATGTAATTATAAGAAATATATATATATTTATAATAAAATAAAAATTTACATTTTTCGATGACATACATATTCACATTTATATCTATATATTTTACTATACAATGTATAATAATAATAATAATAATAATACAGTATTTTTGTAGTTTAATTAACATCAATATTAAATAATATCAATTTTCTTCCGTAAAACTTTCCGTCAATATATTATATATGAAATATATAAATGATTGTAAAAATAATTTAAAAAAAAGTATATTAAAAATTGTTTAATATGGCATTTATTTAGTAATTTTTGAGTAATAAAATAATTTATTTTTAAAAATATATGACATACTGTATATATAGAGTATTAAATTGAAATTAATTAAAATATTATTTCATTAATTCAAATAATTGATTATTATTTAAATTAAATAAATATTCAAAAAATTATTATTCATATATATATATATTATAATTTATTATTAAGTGTAAGTAAATAATATTTTGTAAACTAAATAATAGTTTAATTTTTATCTGTTTAGATGATGAATATTTATTGTATTACCACAAAAAAATACAGTAATAATAAAATAAAACATTTGTTTAATTATTAAAAAATAAAATTATGAATAATTATTTATTCAAAATTATCAAAAAAAGTTTATCCAAAAAATCAGTGCATATTATTATAATAATTATTGTTATTGTCAAAAAAAATAATAATAACAAACTAATAATATTAAAAACAAACAAAAAAATACTTATATTTATATATAAAATATTATATAAATATAAATATATATATATAATAATGACTATTCAAAAAATGTCAGCAAAATAATTATTATATAATTAATAATAATAACAATAATTATATCAATATTAGTATTATTTGATGAAATATCGATAGTTATTCAGTATATTCTCAATAAGTAAAAAATAATTTTCAAAAAAAAACAAAATATTTTATCCAAAAAAAAACAAACAAATCATAAAAATGTTTGTTAAGAATAATAATAATTAATAATAATATTATTATTTTAATAACTAATTTATATATTATATAATAATAATAATATGTGTGAGCAAAATGTATGTGTGTGTGCTATCAGTAAATGTTTAAAACTATAATATAGTATATAATATAAAACAAATGAAAAAAAAATTGTTTTTTTGTATAATAATAAAATATATTTATATATATAATAAAAATATGTAATATCATTATATGATATAACACTTAACAACAACAACAATAATAATAATATTATTAAAACTACTTTTAAAAAAATTATGCAATATTACTGTCAATTAATGCAATGCAATAGAAATACAGTATAATATATATATATAATAAGTAAAGCAATTGATAAGTATTGATAAAATAAAAGTGAAATTAGGACTCAATTATTATTATTATAACTATTACTATAATACTAAAGTAAAATATATTAATAAAAGTTTCTCTCAAAAACAAAACTAAAAACAAATTAAAGTACAAAATTAATAATTATATAAAAAAAATAAATGTATTGATTAGACTTAAAAAAATAATAATAATGGGACAATTAGATGAATTATTGATATATTTAATATATATATATATATATATTATACTTAAAAAAAATAATAAATTTTGTCAAACAATTTTGTAGTTTTTTTCAAAAAAAAAAATTGTGATTATTATTCCCATATTATTATTATAGATATATGACACGGGTATTTATATGTGCGGGTAATTACTACTAATAGACACTATTCAATGAAAATGGTTTATGAATGGGTTGTCTATTATGATAGGATGGATATGATGGCTGTGGTGGTGGTAGAGGAGGGTATGGTTGCTGTTGTGGTGGCAGTGGCTGATGATGATATGGTGGTACACTATATTCAGGATCTATTATACATATATAATATAAGACACAAATAATATATATATTGACAAAAATAAACAAATAAATTAATTAAAAAAAAACATTTTTTTAAAACACAATATATAGTACTTAACACACAATAATAATTATTAGTAATTATTACTGTATTAATTGATAATTAATTAATGTATTAATTAGTTAATATAATAATAATAATTAAAGTACACGTTTTTTTAGATATTTTAAAATAATCATTTTTAGTTTTATTATTTTAGCAAATTATGTTTAGCAATAAAATTTTTTATTTTATTTATTTAATTAAATTGACTAACAATTTGCTTTTAGTTTTTATTTATATTTAAATCATAATAATTTAATAATTACGTTTAGTAAACATCATAAAAAAAATTATTATTTAATTTAATAACTAATTATTTATTTTTAAACAAACAAAAAATTTAACACTGAATTTATTTATAATTAGTTTCATTTTTAGTTATAATAATAATAATATCATAAAAAACAATAATAATAATAATAACATGATTTTATTTTAGCAGATATTTTAGCTTTTAAATAATTTTAGCCATATTTAGAAAAATTAAAAAAAAATATGATCATCAAGCTAAATTATTACTATTATTAACAAAAAAATAATAATAATAATAAATGATTTAATTAAATATTGATATCAATGATTGATTGATTAATTAATCTTTTTTTCTTATAATAATAAATTTCATATCAATATTATGAACGTATGTATGTTTATGTAACGGTATGTGTGGTAAGTGTATGTATGTATGTATGTATGAGTGAGAGTGGATGTATGTTTGTGGAGGAAATGAGATATCAAATGATATATAAAACAAACAATTGTTAATTGATTTTATTTTTATATATATAAAAATGAAAATCAAGGTTTTTTTTTAAAAAGACATTGATTGATTGATTGGACGGGTAGTTTTTTTTATAGTTATGGTTAACCTGTAGCTGCACTCCTCCAGGCGCCCAGCATAGTGTCCGGCAGTGTCTTACAGGAGACCACGGGATTGCTATTTAATTATAATTAGTTTCAATAATCAAAATTTAACCAAAAAATAATTATTTAATGACAACACATACCGGGCTGACTCTCCTCTGAATACGTTTTTCTGAACAAACTCGATGTCGTCTCCATTGGCACAAATCAATTTGGCTAAAGATATCTTCTTTATCTGATGCAATTGATCTAACAAAGTGGTAAATAGATTAGGTTAAAAAACAGTGAGAGCACCGTGAGGTAGATAGGATAGGTAGATTAGGTTAGGACTTACCGGGTAGAAATGAGCCCACTTGACCCTTATGTTCGTACCAGAATCGGTCGCCATATTTTAGATTATAAAACTGTATGCCTATTATACAGGTAAATGTCGGTCCGACGGCCGCACCCGGCAATGGATACTCGGCCAGACCGGCACTGAACAGGTCGACGTCGTGTACGGATCTGTTTGTTTGTTTGGTCGGTTGGTTAGGTTAGAGAGCAGTTCCCAACCAAAAAGAAAATAATGGTTAAAATTAGATAATAAAACAAAACAAAGAAAAAATAGCCATTACTTGTATAGATTTTGGAAGCGCATCCTCTGCGAGGTTGGCATGTATTGGTCCAATTGGTTCCAGTTGTGTATCTTTTCGTCGAAACAAAACTTCAGATAACTAGTATAGCCGCGGATACCGTGATCGCGGCCGCGCTGAACATTGAAAGCGGGCAAATCCAGACCGTACGGATTGTCTTTCGGCCGGTAGAGATGATTCTTCATATCGGACGACACAAACGGATCCCTGTTTTGGGCGGCCTGACTGATCAGTCCTCTCAACACTGAATCCAACTGTCCCTCGTAAAAGCCAAACGGATTGAAGAAAAACTCCCGAAGTCGATAGCCTGATGTTTTACCATTGGGCAAGATTTCGGCAAAAACATTGTTGACTAGTGAGTGACCAAATCGGAAAGCGGCACCGGCAAACTCGTTGATAATGCCGGCATTTACGTGCGGATCGTATTCAGTGTAGCCGTCCTGCAGGACACTGAGTTTCAGAAATTTCATGGCATCCGGTCCGATGACAATCGGTAGCCATTCGGCGTAGACTACATGAGACATCTGGGCTACGACTATACGTTTGGCTTCTTCGTACAGTATGTCGCCGTTCCAGTGCGGGTTAACCCGTTTGAGTTCGTTGACCACCCGATTGTGTTGACGAAGCCATAGTACGTGCAACGACATGAGGGCCGGGTGCTGATTGGCACGTTTGTCCCCGGCCTTGAAACACAGTAGCTGTTCGTCCAGTTTACTACACTGATCTTTGTCGGGTTCGGGCGACTGTGGCAACAATTCGCCGCCATTCCGGGCCAACGATACGTGCATACGACCGGCCGGACCCGTTCGGGTCCACAATGATTCGGTTTCATTTTGCATACTTCCGTACAGATTTGATCCGTCAATATAGGCAGTAATCTGGTTCATCTGTTCGCGGGGTCCCAGTCGACACTGCGGACACATAGCTGTACGGACAAAATTCAGACAATTTTCTTCAAATTTTGAATAAAACGGGTCATCCAGGGGTACGTGAATTGGATAGCACTGGGGATGGCTGTTCTGTTCGAGTGGACAGCACTGTATCATTTTGCCGTCACGGGTACGTGAACTCGGTGTAAAGGCAATGTCGTGGGCAAAAAACTGGCCATATTGCATGACCATATGGGTATAGGTGGCCGGATAGTTTAGATCCCGATGCACTACGGCCGATAGGATACGTGGATTGGGCAGCGGTGCACCCGTTACCGATATCCTGGGTGCCGACTGGCCGTCCGCATAGTCCGGTGCAATCAATCGGACAAAACATGAGAAAGATCGGCCCCAATTCGGGTGAACCAAATTATTGCAGCTACCGTCGGCTGTCCTGTAGCGTGACGGTTGACAATGGACAAACTGTTCCTCCTGGCATCGTTGGACAGCGTGTCGGGCACTCGGTGCGGTCAACAACGGTATCGATTGCAGTGCAATAGCCGATTCGGCAAAAACCATTGGATCCACTGAGCCGTGTGTCATATTTTTCAACAATATCTTACTGGTCTCTTCAAACAGTTCCTGCATGTGCTCCAATTGGTTGCCTTTGGCCAGCGTAGTGGTCACTGCCTGATGACGACTAGTGGCCGTAACTTTCGACATATCCGTAGTCATACCTTCACGGATCAGTTCATTTTCCAGCCGCAACTTATCGCTGACCATTGATTTGCCCAAATTGAATGCATCGTCCAATTCGTGTACCGAATAGGTCGGTAGTTTGATTTTTTCGCTAATCTGCTGGACTATCCGTTTGGGTAACAGTACTCCCTGTGCTGAAGCACCAGTAGGTAACACCGACGACACAGTTAACAACAATAGATTAACAATTAGGAACAGTTGGACAGGTATTAGGAAACTTTTACACATTTTAGCGATACTATTAACGGTATGTCCTACGATAATAGCACTGCAACATTGCCTCCTCCTATTAATAATATTAATCTCTGGCACCTGTAGCTGATGATGATTATTAGGATTATTATTATTATTACTATTGAATAAATTTAACATAATTATTGTGATGGTGTTGTTATTGTTGTTAATTAACAAACAAAAATTGGTTGACTAAAAAAATAATAATATCCCAGTGCACTACAAAAATTGATGGATGAATTATAAAACATATACAACAATTAAAAAAAATAAAATTATATATTCAACTAAAAAAAAAAATTAAATAAAAGTTATGAACAAAAAAAACTTTTTTTTTCTCTCTCTCTCTCTCTCTTTCATATAATTATATGACACGAATATATTTCACTTTAAGAGAAAAAAAACTGTTATAACTGTTAAACACATTGAGATAAGAGATGATGAGAAATAATAGTAGTGTAGGAAAAGCAGTCCATAACTATGGGATGGATAGACGACCGCAAACTAAAAACTACCTGTGCTCTCAGTATGTGTGTGTGTGTGTTTGTGTGTGAGAGAGCATAGCGCCAATGACTCCTCTATTAAAACTGTAGTCTAAGTGTATATAACTGGAGTTATAGTATTTTTTTGGTGGTAATATATGGCACGTGGACTACAGTAATATAATATAAGACAACAACAAACAAGTTTTCTACGCTTATGTATGTGTGTGTGTGCTTCTACAGAGAGAGAGAGAGAGAGAGAGAGAGAGAGAGAGAGAGAGAGAGAGAGAGAGAGAGAGAGAGAACAAGTCTAAACTAGTTTGCCCTACCATTCCCCCCTATCTATACAATTATATGTATATCTATATTAATATATATATACATATATACATATACAGGTCATCCTCAACAAGCCTCCCCATACACACACTACTATACAGCCTTAAGTATGTTTATGTATGTATTTATATTGAATGTATGTTTGTGTGTATATGTGTGACCAATCTTTCAGTGAGAGAGAGAGAGAGATAGAGAGAGAGAGAGAGAGAGAGAGAGAGAGAGAGACAAAGTCATCAAACTTAACCTAACCTAATATAACTACATATATACCGGTATATACAGTATATATATATAAGATTTCAATTGTTTCTATGGGAACTCATAAAAATCTTCTATACTCTCTTCCCCCACCACTAGCCCACCCCTCTATGATTTTCTGCTGTGAGCTACCCCTACAAAAACATCCATCTCCTCTCACACCGCTGGCTCTCTACATATATATATATATATATATATATGAAAATGTGGGCCAAATTTTATATAAATATATATATACTGTATATCACTGTATATATGATGTGCTGCTTAAGCACCAAAAACGCTAGATTTTTGCAAATAAATATTATTAAGAGAGAGAGAAATATTTTAAAATTAAGGTCAAAATTGAAAATATCAGTTAAATAGATAGATATATTTAAAGTACAACAAAAAATTTACTGTGAAATACATTATACAGTACATGTTGTTTATTATAAATATATATATACATGAAATATCAGGTATGATATGCTTTATATTTAATGACAGCAACAAAATAAAAACTATCTATTTATTGCTAATAATTAAAAAAAAGCGTGTATTATATAATACTGTATATATATTAATATATAACTTATATTAATATTATTATACCGTTTAATATATTTTTACTGTATGATTGCTATATATATTTATATTTATATATACAGTATATTAAAAATAACTTTTAATTTTATTATTAAATCACGTGAATCTAAATATTTTTAAAGCAATTGATTTATTTTAAAGATATATATTGACTAAACAAATAACTAAATAGAGAGAGAGAGAGAGAGAGAGACTAAATTCATATAGTATTTAATAGATAAGCTATAAATAAATACTATAATAAACTAAAATAATTTTTGGAAAATATTTTTGCGAAAGATTATAATTACTGTATATATATATTATTGAATGTGATCTATATATATATAAAAATAGATATAATCGTAAATAATATGCTTTTATTTACTGGTATAATATACAGTATATATATATATATATATTTGATTGCAATACATCACTACTAGTATCCCATAATTTATGGGCCCATAAATAATTGTAAAATTTTTGATAATAACATCATATTATAACAATAATAACAATCTGTATTATAATTAATAAGTATTAATTTATAATACTATGTATGTGTATTTGAAATATTAAACATTAAATTTCTAAACTTGACATTTTTGTTTTTAACTGATAATAATACTAATATATGGAAATATTTTTATAAAAATTTGTGTTTTTTTGTGTGTGTATATGTGTGTTGAACTGTATTATACATTTGATATTTATCTTTTTTTAAATGATAATATACTGTATTAATAATGTATTATAATAAGTGTAATAACATGTATAAGTATACTGTATATTATTAGTACATTTTTTTTGTCGTCAATTGAATGCATAATTTTTAAAAAAAAAACTAAAAAACTTTTAACTAAAAAAAATCTCATAACAAATTAATCAATAATAAATATATATATATATATATAATGATCTGATAGTAATTGTAAACATTTAAGTAATTAATTAGCAAATACAGTATTGCACAGTAATTGTTACCCAAAAATAAAATATTATATTAATATTACAGTAATTAACTAATCATATCGTTAACAGTAAAAAAAATAAATATATTTTTTTTGTTGATTAGTTTGATTGTAATGATTAAAATTCATAGATAGTGTTAATAGATTTTTTGTTTTTGATAATAATAATTATATATATATATATTAAGAAAAAAATAAAAAATAAATGATTATACGATTGTAAAGTACATATATATATATATATATATATATATATTTTGCTAAATAAATTTTTAAAAAAATCTTTATCTACTATTTGTTTGTCTACTATCTATACAAGTGATACCATATTTAGATATTAAAAAAAAATAAAATAAATAAATATTTTGTTTCTTATCATATCTCTCTCTCAAATAAAAAATATTTAGTTTTTAAACATAAAAATGCTTATACTGTATGATTAACAATGTATTTATACTGTATATAAATACAGGCATTTAATTTATATATATATATATACACACACAATATATACCGGTATTTATAATAATAAATGTACTGAAAATTGTATTTTTTGTTTGTTTTGAATTTATAATTAGTTAGTTATTTGTATACATTATTTTTTTTCTTAGATAAACACTTGAATTATATGTTAAATAATAACTTTAGGAAAATAAAAGAGTTTTAACATATATTTCTTAATACTCTCTTATGGTTTATAATCTAATAATAATATTTTTTTCTCTCTCTCTCTCTCTCTATTAAACAAACTAACAAAAAATATATAAATAATATAATTTAAAATTAATTTTATTTATTATTGTGACCAACCATTTGTGATTAATGGCTGAATATCTATTGTTTTTTGAAGCCTAATGTATGGATAATAAAAATTTTAACAAAACTTTTTAAAAAATACTGTAATTTGTTATGACATTTGTATTATATATACATTGGTATATATATATATAGTAAAAATACCTTTATTTAGTAAATTGAAGACAACTAAACTAATTTACTAACAAAATAAAAACACACAAACCGTATAATCAATTGTCATTATAATTATAATATATATCCCAATATATACCGTATATAAAGTTATATATAATTAACTATTACAGACAAATTGTTGCAATAATTTTTTTCTCCTCTGTGTGTTAACAAAAAAATTTCTAGTTTTTTAAACATAATACTAATAATAATAAATCTAATTTAAGGCTAGCATAACAAATATATATAATAATAATAATAATAATTTTTTTTTGTTATACAGTAAGTTATTAGTAAACTTAGTTTACTGTATGTTGTGAATGACATCACATAAAATGAAATTTATAAAAAAAAAATTAGTTTTTTTGCAATTGTCTGCCGAATTACTATTTATAAAATTATTATTATTTTTTATATTATTATTATTATTATATAATCATAATTATTATTTAGTATTATTATAAATATATGTTTATTATTATTATATTTTTTTATTTGATTTAAGGACATGTTTTTTATTTATTTGTTTGTTTGATAATACAATTTATGTGTCTCTTATATAGTGTTAATTCAGGTTTAACTTTGTATTCAGGTTTTGTTGATTGTGTGTGTAATTAATGACAATTTTTTTTGGTGTTATTTTTAAATACCTTTAGTTTTTTATTGTATTTATTTATTGAATAGTTTATTAAAAATAATTTATTGCTGTTGTTTATTTAAAAAAATAATAGTATATTACTATTAGTTTATTATTAATAATAATAATAATAATAATAAATATTTTCAATCATTCCCAATACACATAACTAAGGGAATTGTTAACAATAATAAATAAATAATTAATTAATAATTATTATTATTGTAATTATAATTGAATTTGTAAAGTTTGCTGAAGAAAAAAAATTTAAATTAAATTAATATTATTAATAATATTTAACTTTTAAATTATTGTGTAAACAATTTTACCGGAAGTTTTGTGTGAAAGAGAGAGAGAGAGAGAGAGAGAGAGAGAGAGAGAGAGACTGAAGTTCATTAAGAGTCTAAAAAGTTATATAAGAAAAAACGAGAACAGCTTTTAAGCATAAAATAAAACTATCAAAAAATAAAAAGTTTTATATATATATATATTAAATATAGGAAATGATTGTATATATATATATATTAACTGTATATACATATACACAACAATTATATAAAATAATATTATATACACGAATATAATTAGGATTTAACATAGATTTCAATTAGAAAATCAATAATAAAAAGCTGTATACTGTATATGTTTATAAACGGTTAGTTATATTTAATTTAATTAATAAAATCGATTTATTTGTTATAACCAAACTTGTATATTGAGTTATTGAGATTATACTGTATAATAATAATTAAAAATCTAATGTATAATTATATACTGTATTATTATTACTATTAATCTTAACTATAATAATAATGATACTTAAGTTAGTTTTTTTTAAAATGTCTTAAAACATGATGAAAACATTTACTTTTACTTTTTATTGTTTTAGTTCATTAAAATAATTTATATATTGATATATCATATCTATAT